GCCACTTATTTGGAAAGCCTTAAAACATGGCAATGCCTGGGCTGTCATCACAAGAATATTTTTAAATAGGTCTTGGGTAGGGCCTGGAATATTATTTCGAAAGCTCCCCAAGCGATTTCAATATATAGTAAACAGCATGCCTAGTCGGCGATCTAATAAAAAGTGCAAGTTTATTGAGGACTGTTTTAGGCCGAGCACTGTTCTGTTCTCACATTTTATATTTAATCTGCCCGACAACCCCATAAGATACATTGTGTATCTTGTATTTGATGAAGACACCGGGCAGGGTGGTGTTCTCTGGTCGCTTTAAATCTGTCATCTGCGGTGGATGATCTAGTTCAAGATCCTGGTCTGCCTACTGTAGGGCACTTCTGAGTGCTCTCAACTCTCTCATTTTATATCTCAAGTTATAAAAAGATACATCTTTAATACATTTTCAAGCATTTTAAGCTAAGAAAATGAGTAAAAATACAAGGAGAAGCGCTCATTGGACGTCTCGCCCCTGCTGTCCAAGTACGTGCAGGAGGGGTTGGTGATGCCTCAGTACTCACTGTTAGTTGGCTCCAGAGGTAGGATAAGTACCAGAAATGAAGAACACACACGAATTGCTTTGGCTGAATGGGTTCCAAGACACAAAGCAACTGACCCTGACAAGCTCTAGTTTATGAATCTGGAACGGAACAATGAAACCACTACAAAATGTGTCCAGTGCCAAATTTGACAAGTTTCTAAGTGGTTGAGTATCAAGCTATGACCATGCTTGGCTCTTCTTCTAAAGAAGCGGCACTTCTTGACCCTCCCTCCAGGCAGTGGAGAGGTTTTCCTTGAGGTGAAATTCAGCTTTCATCACTAGAACTGTAAAGCTTAATGATTTCAGCCAAGTCACTGTCACAAAAATGCTCATGTTTGTTTCTCCAGTGATGCCTTCTGGTGAGCTTTCTCCTCCTGATACGTCCTGTGGGCGAGGTGAGCAGGAGGCAGAGTAGAGTGACGTCAGCCTGGCCCTGAGAGTGGTCGGCAAGGGACCTCTGTGAGCGTCCCCTCCAGGTTGCAGCTGCCTGTGAAGTAGTGGATGAAACACATTCTTGGAGATGAGGTGTGGGCAGGGCTGCCGTAGGCTGCTGTCTCACAGAAACTGGAATATTGAGGTAAGCACCCAGGGTTTAACAAATTCCTTTTATGGTATGGGCAAGATTCCGGGGGGTTCTGAGGCCTGGGGTGGTGTATGAGTGCGTGACGCTGTGTTCTGGCTTCCTCTCAGACATCCAGGTCCTCACTTCACCTGGGCTGCCTGGACCACTTCCGTTGGCCACTAGACCTTGGCACCTTGCTGAGAGACAACGGAAAACACTCGGAGGCTGTGGGTATCCACTGCGCCCTTTATGAGAGGTGTGGCTGTAGCTTTTGGGGAAAGCCACCTAGAACTCAACTTCAAAACCTAGTTTAAATCATTATTCTCCTCATCCAATCCTCCTATTTTCCCCATGGTTGCCTTAGTATTGCAAACAAATATATCTTATTTTGTTCTGTTTTTCTGGAAGATAAATAAATTCTGTGTGAGCTTGGGGTTATATTGACAGCCAGATAGTCTTTTTTTCTCTATTTCATTGAGTTTATTGGTACTTTTAAAGTATACAGTACAGTTACATTCATCATTGGGATCCTGTACCTTTACATGACAGGTCTTGGTTCTCACTTTTTCCCCTTGTCCCTGCCCTCCCTTCATCTTCTTCTCCCTCCCTTATTTACAAAGACTTTGTTTCCATTTTTTCCTTTTCTCATATTTTTTCTTTTCCCCTATTTCCTTTCCCCTATCCTTTCCATTTCCCCTGCACCTTTAACCCTTTTCTTCCTATTTCAAATTGTCAGTTATACAATTTGGATCTTATTTCTACTTTTAGCTTTTCACACCAGGGAAACTATTCAGTATTTACACGTGTGTGTCTTATTTATTTCACTTAAGAGTATGGCCTCAATATGCATCCATTTTCCTATGAATGACTCTAGTTTCTCATACTTTATGACAGCCAGTTAGTCTTATATTTAAACTCTTATGAAACTAATGAGGTTAGCACGGTCTGTCACCCTGATACATCTGAGATGCTTGTTGTCCCCGAAGCTGATTAGCTAAGGCTGCAACCTTAGGTTCCGTGGGATTCTAGTGCCACCTGGTGGTCATATCGATGTCTACCGCCATGGCTTTGCTAACTGCTGTTTTATACGCTAACAGACCGGACCACATAGTTAGGAGAGTGACCTCTAGCGGAAAAGCTTGGGATTTTTTTCTTTGAATTTATAAGAGGTTCAGAATGCCATTTAAACAGTTTACAGTCAGAAAAGAAAAAGCAGAAGTATTTTGAAAGTACTGTATTTAAAATGACAATGGTATTCACTGTAGAGAGCGATGTCCATAATGCAGTTGAATCAGATTTTGATGATTATAGACTGTTTGTGGCAAGATTATCTTGTATTTATGCTGAAATATGATATAACTGTACTAAGAGTACTGAAGTCAGAGTTGGGTTGAAACACAGGCTTAGATGCTCATTAAATTTTTTCCTTGAGCAAATTATTTGACTTGTGTGTGGTTCAGTTGCCTCAGCTTATAATGTGGGTGGCCATGTCAGATTAAAAAATGCTCAAAGGAAACTACTTGACAACAGTCGGCTATTGAAAAAAAAATCCTGCAGTTTATTTCAGTCTGAGAAAAGATTAGTCTCCGCGCTTTTTGTTCAGAGAAATATAAGGACAAGTGACTCTTGTTCCAGGAGATGGTGGGACAGGTCCAACGATCCAGTCTCCTACCTGCTCAGGGTTTTGGGACACCTGGTGGCGGTGGTGGTGACCATCACAGCCGGGTTTGTGAACAGATCCGAAGCCATGGCGATGTGTTGGTCGGTGAGAGGGGGCGGCGGAGGAAGTAGGAAGCTCTAGATAAAATGTCGTGTAGTCATTGGATGCTGGCTGCTCAGGATGCCCTTGGATTGGTGCTTACTCTGCGCGTGCTCAGATACTGGCATTGTCCATCCGGCGCAGCTGGCAAGAACCACACTGCTCAAGGCCGCGGGATCCTTGCAGAGCTAACTCTTCTGTGAAGCGGGAAGACTTGTTCTTAGGGTCATGGTGCTGCAGAAAGTCGATTGCTTGCTTCTCTTTCTTCATGAAAATATATGTTGCAGCTGGGGAAGTCAGATCAGTCAGATTTTGGGAGTGGGATTTTTGATTCTTGTTTGTCAGTCCCCCCGCCCCACAGTCCTACAAGTACATTTAAGGGGGAAAAAAACAAACTAAAGTAGTATAGACTAATAAAAACTACAGGACTTCAGCTGTCCTTAAAGATAACCACTTTCAAGCTTTTCATTCCCTTAATTATCTTCACAGACCCGAATACTGTGCTGAGGCCTGGGATTTAGCTCAGCGGTTCGGTGGCCTGCCTTGCAAGGGCAGGGACCCGCGTTCAATCCCCGGTACAAAAAAAAAAAAAGAAAAGAAAAAAGATACTGCGCTAAAAAGTTGCATATGTATCAGTTTAAGAAGATATTGATTGACTTTGGATCCCGAGACAGGAAGTTTCAGCCTGTACTGCAGTCTCCTTGGTAAGGGTGTGGACTGGCAGCATTGTTTGGCTTGCGTATTGTTGGGGGAAAATAGTTTGAGCCAGTATTCAGAGGATTGTATGTAAACAAAAATACAGATTTTTCTGTTCTTTTTGAAAAGCCATCCAACACTCAAACTGGGCTTGCATTTCTTTGTGTCAACAGTGGACTGGAGCTGAGCAACGACCACAAGGCATTCAGGCTTCACCTCCCTGCCCACCTCACCACTCCTGACTGCTCTTTGGTACTGAGGCTTGGTAAAAGTTGCATGTAGCATTATGTCTCTTTTTGTTATAAAACATACATTTCCCCATAGCCATGTAAGTAAGGGAAAAAAATCAACTAAGTCAAATAATCTTTCTTGCTTCCAGCCCTTGTTTCTCTATTGCTTTGGCTGCTTGTCATTGGATATATTTGCATTTGAGACCACTGATTGCTCTGTAGGCCAGCCTTAGCACTTTAATCAGTGTATAGATGCTATTCAACCTATGTTGGATTATATCCTAGTAAATCCGTTATAAATTAAGTGAAAAGTACATTTAATATGCGTAGACTACGAATATCCTAACTCAGCAACTATACAGGGTTGGATGTCTCCCCTCGTGGTCTTGTGGCTGACTGCAGTTGTGTTCCCTGCATATGTCTCACCCAGGAAAAGATTCAAATTCAAAATTCGAAGGGCTGTGTGTGGTCAGCTTTCTGTCACGGTGGCAGAATACCCGAGAGTAACAACTTGAAGGAGGGCAGGTTTACTTTGGCCCAGGGCTTTAGCAGTTTCAGTTGGTCCCATTGCTTCTAGACCCATGGCAAGGCAAGAACATTCACAGTGGAAGGACACGGAAGGGGAAAGTGGCTTACCTCAGGCTTTTGAGAAGCAGAGAGGATGGGAAAAAGCCAGAGAGGAAGGGACCAAAGACCAGGGATAGACCCCAAGTCAGGCCCTCATAGTTCATTCCATCTCTTGTTTCCAACACTTACCAATAATGCCATAAATTATGATCTCATCAATGGAGCAATCCACTGATGAAGTTACCCTCGGGATCCAACTGTTGCCCAAAACCCCATTCTCTGCACACAGGAGCCACTTGGGGAGCATTTTATATCTAAACTACAACATACAGTTTCTACTGAATGCCTATCATTTTCACATTGTTTATCATCAAGTGAAAAAATTGAAATCCAAGCCATAGTAAGTGGGAACTGCTCGTACAAATGGCATTATGTGAAGTAGGATACTTCTTTTCTTCATTTTGATGGACGTGCCAATAAGATAGGCATCAAAATGGATGTGAAACATCTCCCACGTGCAGGTTAACAGGATATGGTGAAGACCCAGCTTAAGACCTCTGGGCAACTCTTTACCTACTACTACTTAGAAATTCTACTAATACTGGGGTGGAGGGGAAGAGAGCATTTTGTGAGGAAATTTTTTCAGAGAGATTCTGCCGTGACTCTCATCTTCATCCCCCACCAAGGGTTTGGGGCAGAGATTACCTGCCTCATCTTCTCAAAACAAGTTTGATTGGGCTTTACCTGGACCAAATTGGGAGGCATGTCCAATATGTATCTCCGGAGATGTGGGGTGGAGAGTGGACTGGTGTCTAATTTGCCTAAGAAGTTTAGAGGGAAGAAATGTTAGCCTGCGAGCAGCTTAGATGCTGCCATCCAAGGAGGTTACTGTACAACGACAGAGGAAACCGGCACTCCCTTCCACCGGAGGACCTGCAGGGGCATGTGTGCTTCCAGTGGACAGAATGTGGACCCTGTAGGAGGGTAACCTCTGCTTGTGAGGACCTACCGGGAGGTAATGGGCACAGTCAGCTGGATCCTTGTTACGTAAGGGGGGTGTTAGAGAAGGGTTGCGTGGGCAGAGGGGGACCAAAGTGACATCATCACCCATGTGACACGTTCTAGACAGAGCAAGCAAGTTCCAGAAGAGAAACAGGCTGCTTTAGGCGTCTCCCTGGCCAGGGAATATGAATATTATCAGTCAGGCAGCTTCTCTGCTCCATTTTCCCTCCTGCCTGGGCTCTAACCTTGGAGAGGCAAGAGCCCCCAGCTTGGGGAGGACGAGAAGCCCAAGAAAGGCCACGCCTCCTCCCCTCCTGCCGCCACAGAGCACGGTGGTGCTGACAGGTGAAGACAAGCTCTGATGTTAAATCCATTCAACATTTTAACACTGTCCAGGCCTGAGGGTAAACTCCCAATTTAAGAGCTTTTGCAGTTGAAGGTGCCAGGGGTACAGTTTATACCTGGCAGTGAGCAGAAAGGTCCTGGGATCTGCCCATGTGTGATCCAGGGGTGGGGAAGGCAGGCATCACTGAGTACATCTGCAAGGAGCAATGGAAAGCGAACGTGAAGCTGCATTTGGATTCCATGGGTTGTGCTGCTTTAGCATATTGGTAATTTGCAGAACAACCACATACCAGTTTTATAAAATGAGATATTAATGACATTGCCTTGCTCTTCAATACTCCATCTTCCTCCCAGCCGCTATCATCTGCATAACTCCTGAAATGCTAACATCAAGCACAACTTCTATAAACATTACTGTGTCTTTCACGTTTTATATGCGCTCTGGTGAACATGTGAGATTCTTAGTTCAGCTGGACAGGTTATAGCTCGTAGTAGATCAACGGCCCCATCAAGAAAATATAGAAGAGACAGACACAAAAGCAGACACGTCTGTCTGAAAGCATCGGAGGCAGTCTGAATGTGAGGAAAGAGCACGGGGCAAGAGCAGGTCCTGGAGATGAGCCCCAGTCTGCCTGCTGTTTGATTCCTTGGGGCGTTTGCCGGCCCTGGGCACTGAGCAGACTTCAGAGTTGTTTAGAAGGTAAATGTGGGAGGTATCAAAACCAGCAGAGCATTCAGCAGCCTCACAAGGGCAAGGAGGTGAACTGGGGTTTGCGAATTGTCAAGATGGCTGAGAAGGGCCGGGAATTTAGCTCAGTGGTTCCATTGCCTGCCTTGCAAGCGCAAGGACTTGAATTGGATCAACTCCTATTTTTTCTTTTCCATTATTTTCTTTCCCTACACCTTTAGCCCTTTTCTTCCTATTTCACATTGTCAATTATACTATTTGGATCTTATTTACACTTTTAGTTTTTCACACCTGAGAAACCATTCGGTATTTACACGTGTCTTATTTATTTCACTTAAGAGTGCGGCCTCAATGTGCATCCATTTTCCTATGAATGACTCTCATTTCTCATTCTTTGTGACTAGTATTCCATTTCATAGAAAAAACACATCTTCTTTATTCAGTCTCCAACCGATGGGCAATTGGGCTGTTTCCAAGCTTTAGGTATTACGAACTGTGCTGCTATAAACATGGGGGTGCATATATCACTGTGGTATGATTCTTTTAATTCTTTTGGAATAAGAGGAATAGCTGGGTCAAATGGAACGTCTAATCCTAGTTGTTTGAAGTTTCTCCGCATTGAATTCCACAGTGGTTGCACCAGTCTGCACTCCCACCAACAATGGAGAAGGGTTCCTTTCTCCCCACAACCCCGCCAACATTTGTTATTGTGTGATTTCTTGATAGCAGCCATTCTTTGTATGGTGAGGTGGAATCTCAGTGTTCTTTTCACCTGCATCTCTCGAATGACCAGTGATGTGGAACATTTTTCATATGTTTATTTGCTGCTTTGACTTCTTTGCCGAGAAATGTCTCTTTATTTCAGATGCCCATTTTTGAATTGGGTCTGTATATTTGGGGGGTCTGATGTTTTTGAGTTCTTTCTATATTCTAGATAATAGTCCTTTGATGAAGCTGGTAAAAATCTTTTCCCACATTTTAGGTTGTCTCTTAGCTTGGTTGTTTCTTTTGCAGTGCAGAAGCTTTTTAATAAGATGAAATCCCAGTTGTTGCTTTTTGTGCTAGTTCCCATGCTACTGAGGATTTGTTCATAAAGTCTTTTCCTATGCCAAAGTCTTCTATCATCTTCCAGCAAATTTTTAAATTATTTTTAAATATTTAGATCTTTAATCCATTTGGATTTTAGTTTAGTGCCTGGTGAAAGATAAGGGTCTAGTTTTAATCTTTGGCAGGTTGAAAGTCAGTTTTCCCAACACCATTTATTAAAGAGGCTGTCTTTCCTCCACTGGGGATGGTTGGCTCCTTTGTCAAAGATGAGGTAGCTGCATGCGTCTAGAGTTGTTTCTGTATCTTCTAATCTATTGCACTGATCCTCAGGTCTGTTTCTTTGCCAGTACCATGCTGTTTTTATCACAGTGACTTTGTAGTATAGTTTCAAGTTGGGGATTGTGATACCCCTTGTCATGTCTCTGTTGCCTAGAATTGCTTTTGCTATTCTAGGTCTCTTCTGGTTCCAAATGAATTTTTGGATTATGTTTTCTAGTTCTGTGAAGTATACTGTTGGAATTTCAATCAGGATTACATTGAGTCTGTGTAGCAGTTTGGTAGTACGAGCCACTGCAGTTTTTCACAATAATACTTCATATGCAATACAAAGCAACTAAGTATTTCAATAAATGGGATTGAGAGAGACTAGGTCTGGGTGTGACTCACACATCAGTGTCAGCAGAGATAGACTTTAAAATGATTGCAGTTAATGAGTTCAAGAAAATAGATGACAAGATGAAAAACCTTACCCGAGTTGAAGTAATTTTGTGCTTGCTTTTAAACTACAACTTACGCAGAGCATAAAACACAAATCTTAAGTGTGAATTTTATATGAAATAGAATTTTGTGAATTTTGGACCAGGAGTGAAGGTTAAAAATACAAAGAATGTCAGCACATCAGGGGCTTTCCTCACTGCCCCCATTGGTCAGTACCTCATGCATGAAACCATTCTCACTTTCATCAACTTGAATTACTTTGTGTGTGTGTGATACTGAGGACTGAACCCAGGGCCTTGTGTATGCCAGACAACTGGAGTTCCCTAAATTGACCAGGCTGGTCTTGAACATGTGATCCTCTTGCTTCAGCCTCCCAAGTAGCTGGGATTACAGGCATATGCCACCACGTTCAGCCAGTATTACCTGTTGTAAAATGTTCCGTAGAATCATATGGTGTGTTCTCCTATCATTCAATATTATGTCTGTGAGATTCAGCCATAATCCTGTGGGTGCCAGTAGGCAGTCTTTTTTTTTTTTTTTTGTAATTATACAAAATAAACCATAGATTCTATTAATATGTTGCCATTATCAGACTTACTTTCAGGGAACAGTTTGGTTGTTTGCAAAGATGGACTATATGGATAGTGGTCACTCTTTGGTGGACATCATACATTCTTTAGTGAGTAGAAGCACCTGTTCTGCTCGGTACAGACCCTCAGGTGGAATTGTTGCATCATCAGCAATATGTAGATTTAGCTTTAGAAATTCCTGCCAAATTTTCCCAAAATGTTTGTACTAATTTACACCTTCAGGAGCTATATGACAGTTCTAAGTGCTTCATTTTCTTACCAAAATTTGGTATTGTGAATTTTAAAAAATTTAGCCATTCTTTTAGGTAGCTAATAGTACTGACAGTTTTCATTTGAATTTCAGTGGTGACAAAGCAATGTTAGCATATTTTAATATATTTATTGTTATTTTAATATCCTCTTCTCTAAAATTCTTTTAACTAGTTTAACAAAATTGACTGCTTTTTTTCCTATTGATTTTTAGATGTTCTCAGAGATTCCAGACAGAAGCTCTTTGTTAGTTGCACATATTACAAATATGTATCCCTTCAAACTGTGGTTCATTATTTTGTTCACTTCATTTTGATAAGGTTCAACTTTACCAATCTTTTATGGTTAATGTTTTCTGTGTCTTGTTTCAGGAATATTTTTTCTATCTTAAAGTCACAAAGATATTCATTTATGTTTTCTTCTAAAAAATTGATTAAGTCTATGATAAATCGCAGAATAATTTTAGCCTATGACATGAGACAAAGACAAGACTTTTCATATGAATAGTCATTGGTTGCAATTTCATTTACTAAAAGCTATCTTTTCTTTACTGAATTACAAAAGAGCCAGGTGATCATTTATGTTTGGTTCTGTTTCTGCCGCACTCTATTCTACTTGTTTAGTGGCCCATCCTTGTTCTAAAACCACACAGTCTTAATTATTGAAACTTTATTTAAGTTTTGGCCTGAGATGTATAATTCTTCATTTGCTCCTCCTCTCCTCTTCCAACTCTTCCTCCTTATTATAGTTTGGAGCCAACAGCCTCATGCATTGAAGGCTTAGTTCCCAAAGCAAAAATGGTCAGAGGTGTGGCTTTTGGGAAGTGAGTGGATCATGAAAACCTGTGATCCAACACTCTGATTGGCTCATAGTTTAATCCCTATCGGGAGGTGGTGGAAACTGTAGGAGTTAGCCTTGTTGGAGGAATTAGGTCACTGGGGGAAATACACCAGAGGGGCACATCTTGCTCCTGCATTTCTTTCCCTCTCTCCCCCCTCCCTGACCTTTCCTTCCCTCCCTCTCTCCCTGGCCACTATGAGATGAGCAGCTTTCCTCTACCACATTCAAATGCCGTGATGTTTATTTGTCATCACAGGCCTAAAAACAATGGAGCTGGGATTTAGCTCAGTGCCTGCCTTGCAAGAGCAGGGTCCTGAGTTCGATCCCCAGTATAAAACAAAACAAAACAAAACAAAACAAAAAACACCCCCCCCAAAAAAAACCCCACCAAGAAACCAAAAACCAGTAAGAACAAAAAACAATGGAGCTAGCTGACCAAGTACTGAAACCTCTGAAACTGTGAGTAAACATAAATTCTCTCTCCTTTAACTTATTTCTCAGGTATTTTGTCACAGCAACAGCAAGCTGACTAATGCA